CTTCTCTAGTGGGGAAGGCCTGGGGGTGGGGTGGATGTGGGGTGGAGGGGATCAATGGGGGGAAAAAGGGGACATCTGTAATACTTTCAACAATAAAGATAAATTTTTAAAAAAACAAATCTTCTCTAGGCATTTTTTATTTTATTAAACAATTTTTATTTACAGAAAGATTGGTAGACCTAATAATAGTAAGACCTTGATTATGGCCCTAGATTGGCTCCTTGAGTAATTAACTTCTATGAACCTGTTTCCTCATTTACAAATGGAGTTAGTATCGTCTACTGTGGCCTTCTGAAATACGAGGCTGAAACAACATAATACACATAAAAGTATCTGTAACTGCAAAAATACTACAGAAAATATTTAGTGACATGCAATGGGATTTGAATGAAGAAATGAAACTAGGAGGCCAAATGATGTTACGCCAGTAACAGAAACAGGAGAATGATAACTGACAAATCCAGAAAATTGTAACAGAAGAACTAATCAAGAGCAAATAAGTAGAAGCAGTGAAGTTTACATACACACATTTCAGCATTTCAGTGATTTCTATGGGAAAGTAAAGAAATTAAAACCAAATGAATCATGTAAGGAGAATTAGGGAGTGAGCTGAAAGCAAAACTACAAGCTAAATAAAGAGAAAAGCCAAGAGTTTTGACACGGTGCCATGAGCTAAAGTTATGATCTTATTAAGCCATGAGAAAAGCCACTACTAATAATTAATGGTCAAAAGTAAAATCTATCAGTATTTTATGAGCCTCAGGTTAATAGCACTGTTTTAGTTACAAGAATACATTGGAACTCCCTTTTCCAGTCTATGGGAAATGAGTAAGAGTGATAAAGCATTAGGCAGTAGTGAACAGCAAGGAATATAGATTTCCAATGGTCAGAGGGAAGAAATATCTCAAAGAACAGAACAATGAAGAAGGGAGAGTGAGGAGGGGAGGGGAGAAAAAGGGAAGGATGGGAAGTGGAGAGGGAAAGGAAGAGGAGGGGAAGTAGAAGGGAAGGGGGGGTTTGGAAAAGAAAGAACCACAGTTTCATGAGATTCCCCAAGGGATTTCTGGATTATCCAAGGTCTGCTCCTACAGGATTACTGTAGCTGATACCAGAGAGGACTTAAGAGAAAAGTAGCTTTACAGATTCACATGCTGGACTGCCTTATTGGAGGGTCAGAATAAAGTATGCTTCTGGACCTTATGCCCAGGACCTGCACACATTCCTGCTTGGTTCTCAAGAGTCCAATCAAGCAGGTGCTGAGCCTCTGGGGAAGTTCTTCCCCACAGTTATGAGGAAACTTCATATTCAGCATTTTAGAGCACATCATACTCAGAATATAAAAATGAAGGTGGTTATCCTCCTGACAGTTTCATCTTATACTATTCTCTAATCACTAGAACCTCTGATTATTTTCAGAACAGTAGTACAAGTAACCCCTCCTGACGTCTTCTTTCCCAATGTATCTGGTCCTTGCTACAACTGCCTTTTTGTCCCAAGAAAAGTGTCACTGGGTCATGTACAGTGAGAACGGGATGCCTTTGGTACCTCACCGTAATTATGATTTCTTATGGCTTTCCCATATCCACACTGGGGTGTGTAAAGACACAGGAGATATGCCCTGTATACAAACATGGTTGTAGTTTTCTGAGGCATACACTGCCACATTTCTCTGTAGGAGTCGGAGTATTTCTTTATCCCTAATTCAGATGTCCAAGATCTCCATTTCACCTCCTTCTACTAAATATGCTTTCAATCTACCACCTATTTAAATATTTTCACGTTCCTTCTCTACCATTTTCTTTGTATCCACTGCAATCATATCCATCCAGCTCCTACAGCTTTATCATCCCCACTCTACACAGCTATCATCCACTGGGCACCATGAAATTCTTGCTTAACTGAGCAAAAATCTGACCCTACAAATCACCTACATCTATAAATTACCTATTTTCTATCTCCTCACTCTAAAACGGTGGTTCTTAATAGCAGACTATTTTGTTCCCCAGGGGACATTTGGTAACATCTGAAGACACTTGGGCAGGGGAGTGTTGCTACAGGCATCTGGTAGGCCAAAGATACTGCTGAACTTCCTACAATGCACAGGACAGCCCCTCATCACAGCAAAGAATTATCTGGCCCAAAATGTCAACAGTGCTGAGGTTGAGAAACCCTGCTCAAAGACATCTGAATGAAAAAAAAAGTCTCACACTTTCAAATCCCCTAGTATAACAGGAAGATTTGGAAAGGCAAGCTTTCTCCAGATCAACTTCACTTCAGAGAAATAGCTAATTCATATTATCTTTACGTTCTCACCTCTGAATTAATGTAATCTGTATAAAACATAGACCACCCTCGAATAATTGCTGCTACTGTGTATTCATTCTCTGTTCTCTTTGCTACATTCCAGTATTATTACAGTACCTTGAATAACTTCCTTTTTCCATCGCGACCACAGCAATGTCATTAACTGCATGAATAACTTGGCTGATTTACAGGATCTCTGTGACTTTTACCTCCAGAGCTACACTGAAATATATTACTCTCAGATTTCAAATTTGGTAGCCCCTATCACCCCTTCTTTCCCTTCCATCCACTGATTCAGTGAACTGGTTCTTCAATCAATTAATCCTTCCAAAGGTAACCTGTCCATTACTCCCTCCTGAAAAACACTTAAATCCATATATAGCCTATACTTCATTAGCAGTAACTGCAAAAACTTACTACCTTATATAAACTCAATCAAACCATAAACTCATAAACCACCAAAAACCTTCAGCCCCATCATCTATATCAATCTCTAATTCTTGAAGACTCACACTTTCCCTAATTCTGCACTGAAATTGTAAAAATCAGAGAACAGTGGTATTTAGAAACAAAGTAAATTAAAATCCTACTTACTACTCAAGAAACGTTTTATTTAACTCCTGTTGATTCCTTAGCATTAGTCTCACAAGATAATTCAAATTGCCTCAACCTTCATCAAGAGTCTGCTCTCGTCCTGTCAACAAACTACTTCACTTCTTAATCAAGAACTTCCACTCTCAAATGAATAATTCATGTGTGAAACAAAAAGAAGGGGTAAATAAAAGGTGAAATGTTTACTTGAGCATTGTCAGGTTCATCTTTAATTTTGTCTAGTAGTCCCTGCTGTGGTGCCATTGCTTTGTCATACTCATCATCCAAAGGTTCTTCTTTAATTCTAATATTTGATGCAAAGGAATTCCCCAGTTCCGAACCAATGGATTCTTTATTGGCAAATGGATAGCTGGAATCCTAAAACACAATATAAAGGATTAATAAATATTCAGATTTTAGAATTACTCCTCTTCAGGTTCAATGCCCAAAGAAAAACTCATTGGAAATGAAGAACTCTATGGACATTCATTAGAGTCCCTATACCTAAAAGTAAATGTGACATATGTCTAAATATCAAGTACAAATAAAGAATCTAAGAGATGAGACTTCATCTCAAAGATGTCCTTTCCCAAATAATAAAGCAAAATTTTTTTAAAAACCAGCGCTCTACCTACTACATATACAGTTTAGAAAGTGACATAAAGAAAACTTTGACACTTGCCACAGTTACAGCATTCTACATACACACTGAAAACTTACCCTAAAGTTTGTTTCTGGGGTTTGTGGTAAATGAGTATGTAATGTTTCTTCAACTTGATTAGCTATTGAAAGAAAAACAAAACAAAACAAACACATGTATATGAATAACAAATCTTATAAAGAGTAACCTAAAAAGCTATCATTTGATAATCACCTCTCTTTTCCAACAAAGACGCTCATTAGTATGAGATGGGTCCCCAAAAAACACTCAAAAGGTAGTTTCATTCAAAGTAAACAATCTGGCCCCATCTTTCTTTTAGCCTCACCTCGCACTTTTCCTTGCTTAAACCTAAAGTGGTTACTTTATTCACTACGCTCTGAAAATTACTTGTATTTGCTATTCCCTATTTCTGCTTGTATCATTCCAAGTCCCCTCTATCTATCCTACTCTTTAAATAGTCTTCCAGACTCAGCTCAGTTCAAGATTCACTTCTCCTCCATAAAACCTTTCCTGGCCAATAAGTTAAAAATCATCTCTAAGAACACCCACAATGCTGCTCCAATTATTTGAAAGAAATCTTCATGTACTGCCTTATGACAAACTCTTCCACCACTGTCTTTAGTTATAAATTAAATCTTATGCTATTCACCTAGTCACTGACACTTCTACTTGTCTTGTCCTTCCACTACTATCAGACATTATGATCCTTGAGGATAAGTATCCTCATAATATTCAATATCCCTACAGGGGATACTGAAAATATATACTGAATAATATAGTATTCTTTTTAACAATACTGATTTGTTCTTTCTACCGTATTTCTCCTAGCATTGTCTGAAACTTAAGGGTTGGTAAGTTATACCTTAATTTCCCTCACATCTACTGAACATTTATTGAAACATTACTATTTTCACTATACCCAAGAATACAAAGATGAGTAAGATACAATCTGATCTTCAATAAACTCCTACACTAGTATATAAGGCAAAAACAAATACAGAACTATAATAATGTGTGATAAGGACTTTAAATGATGAGGCAGGGAAAAAATGCTATGAAAATACAGATAAGGAAACAATTCATTCTTGACACAGAAAGGTTAGGGATGACTACAGAGTAGCAGAGGTTTATGAGTTAGACATTGATGGATAAAAAGTACTTTTACAGACATATACAAAGAGAGAAAATGACATGCAAGCAAATGGAACAGGAAGAGAAAAAGGAAGCATGAGGAAAATATATGATATATTCAAGAATGGAACTACAGCTAAAGTATAAATACACTGAGCAAAGAGGCTCAAAAAGAGCCTCAAGAAACCTCTAAAACAAAATAGAAATGTTATCAAAAAGACCCTCCCTAATTTGGTGGGACAGCAGTTTGAATTAGTGCTTACAGCACAAAGAAGTTAAATCCAACTTCAGGTTCCAATGTTCAACCAAAGAAAATGAACAGGTGATTCGAGTATCTTGCCTTCTCATCAAAACATTGCAACCAGGGGAGGGAGAAATGAGGTTTAGAGCTATTTTTCAACCATTTATACCATTACCAAAAGTTACGGGGAGAAATTCAGTCACTCTGCAAAGAACAAGGATAAAAGAGAAATGACAAGCTTACAATGAATTTAACTGTTCATACTTTGCTTAGCATCAGAAGTTAATAAAAGCTGTATTATTATAAGTATGTTATTTATTGTGGTTTATGGCTCTATTCCAACAATTATTACCTGCTTTATCAAAAAAACTGCTTTTCAACCTTGAATCCAACTCTTTATGGGATTTGTCCAACTGTTTTTCACGTTCATAAGTTAGGTCTCTATTTTTCTCCTTTCCAGAAAATGTCTCTTTGCTGTTTTCTCTTACTAGACTAAAATCTTTCCGTATTGATTTAAAGACAGAAACCTGATCGAACTGTTTAGGAAAGTCTTTTTTAAATTTATTTTGAATCTGTATTTCATTTTCATGGTCTGATTCATGCTGTGTGACTCTTCTCTCTACTTCCAAGCTATCATCAGTATGAACTGAAGAAACAAGATTGTCCTTTGAACTAAAATCCTGTTCATCCTCATTGTCACTACCAACGACTGGAATTCCTGCAAGATCCCCAGAGTTCAAAAAATAATCATCTTCATCCAGCAATGAATTTTCAGATCCTGTTTGATTCGGCATTCCATAAGGCAAGCTGTCAAGGGTAGGAGTTAAGTTGTGGTCTATATCTTCAGACATTTCTGTATCCATGATACCACCACCTTAAAAAGTAAAATACTGTTTAGACAAACGATAATGCTAAAGTTGACCATATTTATAAGGTCTGTCTGGTACTTAATCAAATATTTATATTTTTCTTTCCAAACAAAATATAGATAATACTGAAGTATTCCATTAACACTTTGAGATAAGTGTGACAGATATGACTATCCCTATTTGACAGATAAGGAAACAGGGACCTAAAACTTAGGAAACTAGTTAGGAAGAAATGCAATGTGAGATAGATAAATGTACCAACTTCAGAATCAGACATACCTGTGTTGGAATCATAGCATGATCACTGAAAATCTACGTGATCCTGAGAAGTAAACTCTCAGGTTTCTTTATCTATAAAAAGGTATAATACTGACCTTGGAGATTTAATTTATAGTGGGGATTAATGGTAATGTGTTTAAAGGACCTACTAACAGAGTGACTGACACATAGAAGAGAATATATAAGTGATAATTATAATTAGTATAGTGATTATTCTGGGGACCTGATATTAGAACCCAGGTCTCTGGTCTCAGAATCCCAATTTTTCTGCACTAACTCTAATAAACATGGCGGTTAATGTTTTCGATAATAAATATTTAAACATAAAAATAAAATTTATACAAGCTAGAATAAATTTAAAAAGTGTTTACTGTTTAAAACTATATGCTTAAGTCTCTCTCATTCCAAAATAAAACAAAAAAAACCTTCCAGCTTTACATTTCTCCTGCCCTCAGTCACCTTTCCTTCACAGTCAAACTTCTAGAAGAAAAGTCTACATTGGTTTGTTTCTACTTAATCCATTAGATGGATGCAATCTGGTTCCCAACTGTGCTTTCAGAATGCTCTCATTAAGCCTGGCTAGGCGTGGCTCAGTGTTGAGCATCGACCTAGGATCTAGGCAATCGGGATTCGATTCCCAGTCAGGGCACATGCCGGGGTTGCGGGCTCAATCCCCAGTCAGGGGTGTGCAGGAGGCAGCCGATCAATGACTCTCTCATCATTGATGTCTCTATCTCTCTATCCCTCTCCTTTCCTCTCTCTGAAATCAATAAAGATATATTTTAAAAAAAAAAAGAAATGCTCTCATTAAACTCATCAATGATCTCCTAATGGTCAAATCCATTCTGATTTGTGTGGTATATGCCTCCTGGATAAAATTTCTTTGGTTTCTTTGACACTGTATTTCTTCCTACCTTTCTAATTGGTCTATTAATTCATTCATACTCCTCTTCCTCTATACACTATCAGCTTTCCTCCAAGATTCTAGTTCTCTTCTCATTTTATGCACTTGAACTATTTTATTCACCACCACAGCCGTGACTTTTGCTGTTGACTTCCTAAGCACTTCAGCTTAGACCCAAGAGTCAGATGTCTATATTCTTACAGGCCCCTAGGGACTCCAACGTAGTACCTCTAAAACCAAACTGATCCTGTTCCCATTCCAAGCTCATTCTTCTTGTATTTCCCTCACTTGACTAACAGTATCACCAAACCAGCAGTTTGCTCAAGACAGAAAAAGAGAAGCACTCCAATTCTCCTTCCCGCTGAACAAATTCTCCAAATCTCTCTCTTCCACCTGGCACTATTCCAACACCTCACATCTCTTTCTGTTGACAGTGTACTAACTCAATCCATATAGATAGCTAAGAAGCAACCATATTCTTATAAAGCTTAACCCCGAACCACATTTAACTGGTCCATGAGCAGTCAAACTGCAACTGATAAAAAAACACTGTGAAGCAAACACTAAAAATATTAGGGCACTGTCCTAGCTGGTTTGGCTCAGTGGTTACAACATCAGCCTGAAGGGTCCTGGGTTCAATTCCAACCAAGGGCGCGTACCTCAGTTGCAGGCTCGATCCCCAGCCCCAGTTGGGGTGCGTGCAGGAGACAACCAATCAATGTGTCTCTCTCACATCAATGTTTCTCTCTCTCCCTTCTACTCTCTCTGAAAAGCAATGGAAAAAATATCCTCAGGTGAGGATAAAAATAAAATTAAGAAAAAAAAATAATTTTTTTTATATATATATATATATATATATATATATATGTATATGTATATGTATATATGTATATTAGGAGCACTGACAACAGCCTTGCTTTTATTGGTCCCTGAAGCCCAGATGAAACTTTCAATGTGGTTGATTCTTCAAATCATTCCCTGGGTTTTATGATCCAGGATAAATTCCTTTTTTTGTATAAGTTGATTTGAGTTGGATTACTATTTATAATCAAGTCCTAACTGATACAAGGTCCATATGAAAGTTTTCTTCAAGTTGCCCTCCTCCATAAAGACAACGGAACTATCTTTCTAAACCATTAATCATTCCATATTATACTTTCCCTTGAAATCCTTCAATAGCACCCCACTGCCTAAAGTATTCATTCATTCATTCAGCACATACAGGGAGGAGAAAAGTAGGTTTACAGTTGTTCATATGGAAAATAAAACAATTAATAAATAATACAAGAATAAACTGTATTTCGAGTACTCACAACTGTAAAATCTACTTTTGCCCCACCCTGTATTTATTAACCACTATGTGGTTAATCACCATTTTTACTTAATAAAGTAATAATAAATTTAAACAACAGATGCTAAAATCTTAGGAATATCTACAACTTATTTTCACACAGTATGCCAGAGAGAGAAAAGCAGGGAGAGATGACAGCATGTAGTGTGACAGATATTCACTGTACTATTCTTTCCATGTTCTATTTATTTTAAAATTCTCATAATAATAGGTTAGGGAGAAAACAAATAAAAAAGCAGGATATTAACACACATACTTATAGTATGATAAATCTACCAAACTATAAGCAACTAAAGGTCAGGGTTAAAGCCTTCTCTATACAACAGTTTATCCTTAATACCAGNCAATGTGTCTCTCTCACATCAATGTTTCTCTCTCTCCCTTCTACTCTCTCTGAAAAGCAATGGAAAAAATATCCTCAGGTGAGGATAAAAATAAAATTAAGAAAAAAAAATAATTTTTTTTATATATATATATATATATATATATATATATGTATATGTATATGTATATATGTATATTAGGAGCACTGACAACAGCCTTGCTTTTATTGGTCCCTGAAGCCCAGATGAAACTTTCAATGTGGTTGATTCTTCAAATCATTCCCTGGGTTTTATGATCCAGGATAAATTCCTTTTTTTGTATAAGTTGATTTGAGTTGGATTACTATTTATAATCAAGTCCTAACTGATACAAGGTCCATATGAAAGTTTTCTTCAAGTTGCCCTCCTCCATAAAGACAACGGAACTATCTTTCTAAACCATTAATCATTCCATATTATACTTTCCCTTGAAATCCTTCAATAGCACCCCACTGCCTAAAGTATTCATTCATTCATTCAGCACATACAGGGAGGAGAAAAGTAGGTTTACAGTTGTTCATATGGAAAATAAAACAATTAATAAATAATACAAGAATAAACTGTATTTCGAGTACTCACAACTGTAAAATCTACTTTTGCCCCACCCTGTATTTATTAACCACTATGTGGTTAATCACCATTTTTACTTAATAAAGTAATAATAAATTTAAACAACAGATGCTAAAATCTTAGGAATATCTACAACTTATTTTCACACAGTATGCCAGAGAGAGAAAAGCAGGGAGAGATGACAGCATGTAGTGTGACAGATATTCACTGTACTATTCTTTCCATGTTCTATTTATTTTAAAATTCTCATAATAATAGGTTAGGGAGAAAACAAATAAAAAAGCAGGATATTAACACACATACTTATAGTATGATAAATCTACCAAACTATAAGCAACTAAAGGTCAGGGTTAAAGCCTTCTCTATACAACAGTTTATCCTTAATACCAGACCACACAGCATATGCTCAGTAACTGTTTAATGAATGGAAAGAGTATGTATTTCATGCCTTAAATTATTTTTAAGTCTTAAAAGTAGGGAAAAGCCTTTATGATGACACAAAATCCAGAATAAATTTACTGAATAAAAGATCAAATATGACTAAAAAATTCCCAAAAACACAAACCAAACCAAAAGATTAAGGATAAACAGATTAAGACATTATTTCACTGCACTTTATGTGGCAAAAGGTCATCCCTAACGTATAAAGACTCTTATAGTTCAATAAAGATGCAAACAACCAAATACATAAAAGCAAAGGATTTGAACAAATGTTTCACAGGAAAGGAAACACTAAGGTTGAACCTTGCTCATAAGTGAAATTCAAATTAATAATACAATGAGATACCATGTTCACATAGCAGGTTGGTAATAACAAAAGTTTTGATAGCAGTCTGGCAGCTATGTAATAGGCTAAAGTTTGTGACAAGACCATACGTGAGCTACAAAGCCTAAAATAATTACTATCTGGTCCTTAACAAAAGGAAAGTGTAAACTGGTACAATCCAAATAAAGAGCAGTCAGGCAATATTTATAATACTTTAAATATATATGCCTCTTGAGTCAGCAATTCAACTTCTGAAAATTTACCATATAAATGTATATGTATATATATAAAATCTCACAAGAGATCTATGAAAAAGAACATTTTTGGCAACAAAAAACTGAAACGGCCTGTTTATCAATGAGGCTAAATGAATCACACTACATACCTACAATGGAATATCATACAGTTGTTAAAAAGAATGAGGCAGAGCTTTCTGTAAGTTCACAAAGTTAAGTAAAAATATCAAAGTGAGGAAGAACACACATATATAAGTTGAGGCACAGGTAGGTGTATACAGTTGTTCATATGGAAAATACAATAATTAATAAATAATGTAAGAATAAACTGTTTTATGTACTCACACTGTAAACCTACTTTTGCCCCACCCGGTATATAATGCTATCACCGCTATATTTTTTTTACTGTTTCTATTGATTTTAAAGAGAGTAAGGGAGAGGGAGAGAGATATAGAAACATTGATGAGAAACATCAATCAACTGCCTCCTGCACACCCCCTACTGGGGATCAAGCCCGCAACCCGGGCATGTGCCCTGACCTGGAATCAAATCAGCAAACTCCTGGTACACGGGAAGACACTCAACCAACTGAACCACACTGGTTGGGCTATATTTTTAAAAATCTATGTGTATGTGTAATTGTTTACGTAGAAAGAATATCTTCTATTGATTATGAGAAAAAGAATTGGGTGGCTGGAAGACAGAAAACACTAACTTTTCAAAGCATACCCTTCTGTATCTGAGTTTTGAAGCACATGTATATATCATCTATTAAAAAAATATTTTTTTATCCTTATTTGAGAATGTACTTGAGATTTAAAGCTTTTCAGAGATGGCAATTTCTAACAAAGCATCTAATTTAAATTTGCAATTCTGCTAGTTTACCACACAGTAAGTATGTAGGATGCATAAAACCTTATGAGTTTAAAATGGAAGTACTAGTTTTATATATTAATATATATAACTAACTGGAACAGAATTCTACTCATCCTTATGGACCACGTAATCAAACAAAAGAAACAGCTTCTGTTTCTCAGAGCCTAGATCTACAGAACAAAACACAACAATATATTTGGAGATCATAATAGCTAGTGAAATATTTGAAAGCACAAATTTCTCATGGACGATTCCTAGCTTTTAGACTGAACATGGATAGCACATCTGAGAAAAAGCAAGGACTCTATGGCTGGAATTGAATAAGTGAGAGGAAGAGTGCTAAAAAATGAGAAAAATGAGAAAAAAGAAAAGGCCAGAGGGACAGAGCTATTAGAAATCTGAGAGAGCACAGAAAAAAATGCAATGTATTTAAGTGTGAAAGAAAGTCATTAAAAGACCCTGAAGAGGGATTAACATGATTTATGTTGTATAAGGATTGCCCTAGCTTCTGCAAGACTACTTAAAAGCTGTTAAATGTTACAAGAAATAAAGAATAAAAGCAAGACCAGTTAGGAGGCTACTATAATAATCCAAAGGGAAAACTGGTGGCTAAGACCAGGATAGTAATGGTGGATATGAGAAGTGGAAGCCAAATTTGGGTATATTTCAAAGGTAGAGGCATTTCCTGATATGTGAGAAGCTGGTTATGAAAGAGGTCAAAGATGACACAACAGGGTGCTATTTCTTGAGATGGGAACACTAGAGGAGGAACAGACTGAAAGGAGTAGGATGAATGACCTATTTTGGACCTGTTCATTTTGAGAACCTCATTCAATCTTCAAATGGAGACATCGACAATGCACTTGGATATGTTAAAGAGAAGACTCTTGCCAAGAAATGACATATAAATGTGTGACACATAAATGGAGGGGTGGTACTTAAAATTCATGGGAATAGGTAGGATCACCTAGTGAGTTTATTTACCACAGATGGAAGAGAGCTTAGAGTGCTGAATTACCTCAACATTTAGAAATCTGGTAGAAGGGAAGGATTCCAAAAAAGAGACTAAGATGAAAAAGCCAAAGAGGTAGGAGAGAGGTGATGAATGTCATAGAAGTGAAAGAAATATTTCAATAAAGGAGTGCCCAACCATAATGAATGCTGCTGAGACAGTATTAAAATAAAGACTGAGGGTTATTAATATTGGCAAAGCTGAAATAAACTTCTAACTTGACAAGAGCTTTATCAGGGGAAAATTTGAGTGTACAAGATGGAGTGGGGTGATCCCAATGGAGACTGAAAGGAAAAAACTTGAGAACCTTAAGTACAGCCAACTTAAGAGAAATTTTGCTCTAAATTAAATAAAATGAGCAGAAATTGGACAAAAATCTGCAGTCAAGAGTTTTTCTGATGCCCTGGCTGGTGTGATTCAGTGGTCAGAGCATTAGCTCAAGTACCGAGGGGTTGCAGGTTTGATTCCTGGTCAAGGGCACATAGCTGGGTTTCCGGTTCACTCCTTACCCCCAGGTGGAGAGCCTGTGGTAGGCAACCAGTAGGCAAGCAGTTAATGTGTCCCTTTCACATCAATGTTTCTCTTTCTTTCTCTCTCTTTCTCCCCCACTCTACCTCCCTCCCCTCCACTCTCTTTGAAAAGCAATGAAAAAAATATCCTTCGGTGAGGATTAACAAAAAAAAGTTTTTCTGACTGTATTTTTTGCTTTGTTTTCTCTGTTGGTTATTTTTTGGTGAGTTTTTTTCTCTTTTTTGAAGATGAACAATATTACAACTTGTAGTATGCTCATGGGAATGATCCAATAAAGAAGGAACACTGAGGCGTTCAGAAGGAAAATCTTTGTATAACAGGGGATGTGATCAGTACATAAAGAATGAAAAGAGTACATGAATTAAATGCAGCTTTGTTGTTAGATTTTATAAAAAGAAAATGAAAGTTATTGTAAGCAATTGGTGTTTGACAATGTGAGTAAATTTCATGGTGCCAAATTAATTTTACCTCTGTCCTTCTTCTGTTTAGTCCTTGCTTGAGTAAAATACTGGTATTTCTATATGATACCCAATAATCATTTCATTTTAAGGTACAACCTACAACCAACTATGGAAACCAATTACCACATAAATCAAGACTGTGAAAGGGCTGTCAGTTACTTTCATTGCTAATATAGCATTTAATTTCTCTCATGTATTTTTGTTTTTAATCAAAATATCATTTCCAGAAATAAGGTAATATCACTTATAACTTTAGAAGTCATGGTTCTCTAACTCTCTGAAGTTGCCTTTCTCTCATATAAGAAAAAAAGAATCAAAAGAAAATAAAGCACAAACTACAAAGAATGCAAAACCAAACAAAAAGCATAAAATGAGATCATCTTTGTTCATTTTAAATAAATGCTTAAATTAGCATTTTGTTTTGTCACTGGAATATTTCTAGGAGATGATTTATTGTTATTCAATAAAATACAATTTTCTAAATAATAAAGCCTCTTTAAACTAAAAAATCAGAAATGTAGCTCAACAGTTAAAGGTCCCAAAAAGTCAGGAATCATTAAAAAACAAAACATACTTGCCTTAAACATTTATTTTTACTTGGGCTATATAACAGCACATTAGGCAACCATGTGGTGATCAGGCAAGACTTTGCAACCATGTGGTGATCAGGCAAGAAAGCGTATGTATGCTAATTTGACTTCTTTCTTGAACAAATCACAACCATAATGCAATTTTCAGGATTGAAAGTTTAGTTTCTTTAAAAGTGAAATGAGAAAATAAGGACACTTGCACCTCCATATTTTTACCAACATACCTAGTAAGTCTTTCTAAAGCATTCAGATTATTCACAGAAATAACTGTGAAGTAAATTTCACTAGTGTAAAGAAAGTACAATTGAAAGAATATAATTACAATGACAACTAGAATTAGCAGGTTTGGGAATAACTGACTCTTGGTAAGCTTGCAATTTATCGACAGCTGAGTCATGTGGCTTTGTCTGAAATGACTAGATGCTCAACAGCCATTCTATCTTCCTTCCTTAATGACAGACCCTGATTCTTATCAGGGCACACTTACAGTAATAGGAAGAATTTTAACTCTTATTTATGATCCTAAGCTGAAAAAGTACCTTAGCTATTAATAGGCCAGTAACCAGCAGGAAACTTTTCATGGAAATGGGATAATAACTAGAATACAACAATCCACTCTTCTTTCAAATTGCAGGTATCAACCCATTAGGGAGCCAGGGCCAGGATTTGTTTAAATAGGCTAGAACAGAAAACAAAGTACATCATTCAGAGTGACAATAAGTAATGCTACAAAAACTTTTGGGTATACACATAGGTCTCAGTGTAAAATATATTTCTAATAGTGTTTCAAAGTTAAAAATACTGGTGATGAATGTTAACTAAACTTATTGTAATCATTTCACAATATAAATATAGCATATCATGTTGTAAACCTAAAACTTAATATAATGTTTTATGTCAATTTTATCTCAATTTTTTAAAAATCTAAACAAAATAAAAACAAGCACCCCTAGATAATTTTGCTTATGATGTCCAATAATGCTTGAGGATCATTTAACAATAATTCAGAAATTATTTGGAAATTTAAAGAAGACCTAAATAAAAAGTATACAGGTTCATGGGTATGAAGACTCAATACATTTAAGTTGTTAATTCTCCCCCAAAATTAATCTATAGATTTAATCAATTCCAATCAAAGTCCCAGTGGCTTAGCTGTATAATTTACATGTTGATTCTAAGCTGTATATGTAAATGCGAAGGACCTGAATAGACAAAAATTTTTAATAACAACAGAGTTGGATGACTTACACTAAACTCATTTTATAAGTCTGTATTTTTCAAGGAATTCCTTATTTTGAGGAATTTCTCTCAACTTTTGAATTGGTTATTTTATTGCAAAGGATAATGGCATCTCATTGTGGTTTTAACTTGCACTTTTATGCTGACTAATAATATTAAACCAATGTGTGTACTGGTTGTTTTTTCTTTTGTGAAGTGTCTGTTCAAATCTTTGCCCATTTAAAAAATTCTGTTGTCTTTTTATTATTAAGTTGTAAGGATTCTTTATATATTCTCGATACAATTCTTCTGTTGTTTATATCAATAGACAGAAACAGGTGGGGATATCTCTATATCTTCACTATCTATACCTATCTTTCCCTTTCCATATCTATCTATCCACCCATCCATCTATTCATATATCCACCCATTCATTTATCTATTCTATGGGCTGCCTTTTTATTATTTCAGTGATGTCCTTTGAAAAGCACAAGTTTTAAATTTTGATAAAATCCCATTTTTTTATTATTATATTATTATTATATCTTTGTGGTCTATGTTCTCTGTGTTCTATGAAACTTATCCCAAAATCATGAGTATTTTCACTTTTTTCTTAGAAACTTTACAGTTTTAGCCTTAGCTTTATGATTAGGTTTATCATCCATCTCAGGTTAGTTTTTGTATGTTGTGTAACATAAGAGTCAAAATAAATAATTTTTATATATGGATATCTAGTTGTATCAGCAACATTTATTGAAACAAATGATTTTTAAATATGGTAAATTTTATTATCTATACATTATACATCAACAAATTTAATTTTTTTAACTTCATTTATAATAGCATAAGAAATTTAAAATATATAGGTATAACAAAATATGTACAAGACCTGTAAACTACAAAACATTGCTGAGAGAAACAAAAGAAGACCTAAATGTAGTGAAAGACATTTCCAATAATATATACAAATAAAATAAATGATACTGGTATAGAATATTAATATTTAGTATTGATATAAATACACATAAATATATAAATTAATAGGATAGACGTTCCAAAGAGATCCCCACATATACAGAACTTAAAATATATTTCAGCAGTCAGTGCTAATTCAGTAATGAAAATATCAATTATTTAGATGAAAAATGAATTATTTAACACATGGTATAGCACAATCAACTACTCATCTAAAAAAAATGTAGAACCCAATCTTATCCTAATTCCAAATAAAATTACTTAAATGCTAAAACATAAAATAAAAAGCTTTATAGAGTAGATTATAAAATTTTATTGAAACGCATTAAAGATTTTAATGAATGGAAAGACATACCAAGTTCATAGACAGGAAGACTCAGTATCATAAACATGCCAATTCTCTCTCTCTTGATTTATAGAATCAAGACAATTCCAATCAAATTCTCAACAAGATTTTATTATTATTTTTGTTTTGTTAGGGACTTGGCGAGGTATTTCTAAAATGAATAGCGGCAGGAATATGCAAAACATTCCTGAAGAACAATTTTAAGGGTTGTGAATCATCAAGATTTATTATATAGTTATTATAATTATATAGTAATTAACTAAGACAACATGATACTGGCACAGGAATAAACAAATAGTCCAATGGAACATTAACTGAAAACATAGGGGGAAAAAGTCCACAGATATATATTATAGAATAACTTTGTAGATCACTGGGGAAAGTAGTACTTGATAAATGGTGGTGAGACAATGTTAGCATTATGAAAAGAAATAAGATTAGTTCCCAAGCCATAAAAATGTTAAATCTAGGATAATTCAAGAACTACATGTAAAAGGTAAAACCAATGAACATTTTAGAAAATAATATCAGAGGTATTTCTGACCAAATTCAGTCTAGGAAAAATCTTCCTACATACAATGGGGAAAAAAAAGCAAACCATGAAGAAAAAGACTGATACAATTGTTACCATTCAACTACATTAAAATTAGTATCTGCTTATGCGGAAGACTTCATAAAGACAAGTCATGAATTAAGAGAACTTATCTGCAATATCTATAAATGACAGGTTTATTCTTCATAATATTTAGAGAACTCCTACAATTAAGAAAAGACTGCCCAGCCGGGAGAGTGGCTCAGTGGTTGAGCATGGAGCTAGGATCCAGGAGATTGCAGTTTGATTCCCGGTCAGGGCACATGCCCAGATTGCAGGCTCCATCCCCAGTTGGGGACATGCAGGAGGCAGCCGATCAAGGATGACTCTCTCATCACTGATGTTCCTATCTCTCTCTCCCTCTCCCTTCCTCTCGCTGAAACCAATAACATTAAAAAAAAAAAAGACCAACAATCCAATAGTAAGTGGGCAATAGATTTAACTGAACAGTCATTTTACAAAAGAGGAATCTGAAATGGCCAATAAATATAAAAATATATTCAACTAAATTATTAATCAGGGAAATCCAATTTTATAAAAAAATGAATTCTATGTTATACCTACCATAGTCACAAAGTTTAAAAGTCTGATAATAAAAAGTGTTGGCCAAATGCATAGTGACCAAAACTCTAACCAATAATAGAAGTATAATTGGGGAAAACTATTTAGGAAAATAACTTTTGCATTTATAGAAGAGTTGAGAATGTACACACCCTAGGCCTGAGCAATCACCTCCCCATTTATACTTTACAACAGGGATAGGTAAACTGTGCCTGCACACCAAATCTAGAAGCCATCTGTTATTTTTGTATAACCCAGAAGCAAGGAATGATTTTCAGTTTTAAAAGGTTAAAGAAAGTCAAAAGAAAATATTTCCTGACACATGAAAAATATGTTAAATTCAAAATTTAGCCTCCTTTTTGTACTGTTTATGGCTGCTTTCATGCTACAAAAGCAGAGTTGAGTTGCTGCAACAGAGACAGTATTATCTATAAAACATAAAATATTTACTATCTGGCCAGGAAAAGGTTGTCAATCCCTGTCCTAAAGCAATAGACTTTAAAGTTATTTTTGACAGAGACCCACCATAAGAAATAGATTTTACATGGAATTCCACACATGGTACTTTCTTGTATGTATCAAAAAATATAAAAAAGAATGTTCACAGAGGAAAGATTTGTAATCAGAAAGTACATAGACTGTAAAATAAATTCTTAAACTGTGATATATTTTTAAAATAAGACCTAAAACTATAAAACTCATTGAAGAAAACACAGGGGAAAAGCTTCATGGCATTGGATTTGGAAATGACTTCTTGGATATGACATCAAAAGCACAGGCTTTTGGTTGGAGTTTCGTCCCATACACCAAAAGGTTGCAGGTTCAATTCCCAGTCAGAGTACATACAGGAAGCAATCAATCTATCAATGTTTCTCTCTCTCCTCTCTCTCTTACTCTCCGCACTTCCTCTCTCTCTCAAATCAATAAACATATCCTTGGGTGAGGATTAAAAAAAACAACACACAGGCAACAAAAGCAAAAATAAACAAATGGGACTACACATTTTTCCTTCTGTGCATCAAAAGAAATCATCAACATAACAAAATGGGAGAAAATATTTGCAAATCATTTATCAAATAATGGGTTACTATCCGGAGTACATAAAGAACTCCTATAAATCAACAAAAAGCAACAACAAATAACCCAATTCAAAAATGGGCAAAGGACTTGAATATACATTTCTCTAAAGAAGATACACAAATGATCAAAAAGCATGTGAGAAGATGCTCAACATCAGTAATCATTAGAAAAATGCAAATCAAAACTACAATGAGGTATTACCTCATACCCATTAAAACGGCTATTATCAAAAACACAGAAAGTAACAAGTGCTAGCAAGGATGGGGAAAAATTAGAATCCTTGCGCACTGCTGGTGTGATGTAAAATGATGCAACCACTACTGAAACATTACAGCAGTTCCTGAAGTTCCTCAAAAATTTTAAAACAATTTATATCTTTTTTCAGTGTCCATATTTCCCTTCAACCACTCAATTTTAAAGATAATAATCTTAAAATATAGCTGCAAATTGTTTGCATAACCATATACCTTTTAGCAATAAAGCAAAACAGTACATTTTATTCATTCAAAACTGTATATGATTTGTTTAAATCAAAAAGATTCTATGTTTATTAAATAAAAAAATTCTTGAGAATTGTGAGGTATTTTTCTTTATGGTCATCTCAATTTTGAATTCATGTTTACATCCCTAAAGAAGACTTTAGGCTTTGGTTTCAATATTTTCATGAAGGTATTCCTTCACAATGCTGGAAAGACCCAAATTATATTCAGCAACAGACCATGTAAACAGAAATATTTAAGTAGTTCTAGGATCAAAACAAAAAAAATAACTGCTCAACTTACCAGTTCTTTTCAAAATTGAGCTGCATTGATATATTATAATTAAAACACAAACTGCCATTGATACTGCATAGGAAAACCACAAAAACTTGTCATGGTTACTACTCATTAAAATATTTCTAAGTTACTTTACAATTTATTCCTTTATGTCTAGCAAAAAATTATTCTTAAAAACTTGTGATTCAGGTAAACATTAAAAAGCAGGAGCTTTGGAGTTAGATAAACCTGCATTAAAATCCTGATTCCATGATTTAGAAGTTAAATAATGTCTCTAAGCCTTACTTTTCTCCCTAGTAAAAGAGAGACAGTAGTAGTATCCTTGTCTGGAGGGCTGTTATGGAAGAAACTGCATTACCTAATAGCAATTCTCCCCCTTTCCCTTACTAAGAGATCCTTGATTTTATTGCTGGCAACAGTGGGCTCAGCTAAAGGACTATAATTCCCAGTTTTCTTTGAAGTTAGGGTAGCTAATAAGATGTAAACCAAAGTACACAGGCACGATTTCTAGGAAAAGTTCTTTTAGAGGCTGACTCTGTCGAGAAGTGCACCTTTTTGCCCTCCTCCCTACCCCACAGCAGCCTGAAGATACAGCAGCCATCTTCGAACACTAGAGGATGGAAGCCATGTGCTAATGCTGTGACACAGAAAGCCAGAAGCCACTGGGTTCCTGATAACCAGAGCCATCTCATCATCTAGGCTTCTTTTATATGGAAAATAAATTTCTATTGTGTTTTTATTATACAGTTGAACCTAATCTACTAGTTAATACAATTATTAGGATTTTTAAAAGGTAATACATGCAAATTTTTCAACAAAATCACACATTACAAGTAATCAAAATAATATGAATAATTTTTTAAATTCAAACAACTGTACTTCAACAAATCAGCCATGCTATTATTTTTTCCCCTGAAGTTGGCAAGTCTGTTATGTTCAATGAACTTATTCTATCAGTAAGAAAATCAGCCACAGGTGAATGACCAGGTAGTTCTTTTAGAGCAACTAAGTAAATAAATGTCCTTGATATATAAGGAAGCAACTATCTGAATGCACTTTTTAAAATTTATTCTATCTGAATTTCTTTCACACTTCACATTAACTGGCAACTATTAAGGGAACATGAGTTAAGACAATCCAAGGGATAAGTCACTTCCTCTATCACTATGTATCTTATAAAATCCACAGCAAAAATTCTCCTCTGACAGATGATGAACTAGAAGTTGGACAACCCTACTTTCTCTTTGACTTGTATGAAATGTTGAAGCCCTTTTTCTTTTAAATCCCTTTCACTGAAAACACTACATCTTGGGAAGGTCAACTCAGCTTCTTCACATTTAAACCAAATGTCCCAAATTCCTCACCGGTGGGGTTAAGCTCTGTCAGTTTACGTGTGCCAACAATTAGCAGATACTATATTTTGCTGAAAATTTCACAAGGGCTATACCCCAGGAGGGCTGAATTTGATCTACGAAACAAATATCTGAAACCCCATGTCCTGGTGGTCTTGGGCAATGAATACATGGTATGTATAGTATTTTACTAGATATTTTGACACATTATTTGCCTGAGAAACAATGCATATAGGCCTCAAGAAAAATGGTACGCCTTGAATGACCATCTTTGGAATCAGACGCTCCCTGAAGATCATCTACATAGCAGTCTGCTTCATATCTCATGGATAGGTACCTATATTCCTGAATCCCCTTCATGGAGAGAGGCCAGTTTCCCCTTCCAAGCTAGTGACTTCTCTGCCTCCAGAGCCTTCAACAGCCCCTAATGATAATCTAACAGAAAGGCGGAGATATAGGGTAATCTTTACCATACCATTTGAACTCAACATTTGGTATAAAATTCCCTGCTTGTAAACCTCCAGCCTAAAAACGTTAGCGGGGTTGGAGCAGAAAAGCACCGAGCACCAGAAACATAAATCCCAAGTGTTGGGTATAGGGACCCAAGTACAGCAGCTTGGTTACTGCTTTAAGATTCCTGCTACCACTTTAAGATAGTTGTTATTCAACATCTTTAACCAAGATTAAAACTTTCATTAGAAAGCTATTTGATTAATTTATATTACTACCAGGATACAAACTTAAGCAAAGGCATGTCCAGAAGAAGGTAATAAAAAATTATTTGATGAAACTGAGTGGGAGAGGCTGAGGGATACCTCCTAACAACTATATTTTACTTTCTAACCTTATTTTCCCTGACCACAGATGATTGGGTCAAAGATAAACATCAGATCTAAACTGCCACAATCTTAATCTTTTCCCTAGAAACTTGGAAATTTAAAATGGATACACAGAAAAAATAAGTCATTGGAACACAACTGCTTTTTTGCAGCATAGACAGAGTAGGCTCATGATCTTTTCTCATTGAGTTCCCTGGAGGAAACTTGTTCTTTACCTCCCCCCTAAATTCTGTGAAATACACCAAAAAACTTCTAAAGTTTCTTCTGGATAAGCTAGGTGAAGCCTAATTTACTTTCTTGCATGCAAGAAAAAAGAAAACTAAAACCACTAAAGATCAGGAGAGTTACCTCTCAATAATATGTAGCATAAAAAATGTTATCACTCGCTTCTTTCCCGAGGAAACACCAAATGGCGGATGACGCCGGTACTGCGGCAGGGCTAGGAGGCCCAGGGGGCTCTGGAATCGGAGGCCGCGGCGGCTTCCGTGGACGATTTGGCAGCGGAATCTGCGGCCAGGGTCGCGGAGCTCGCAGAGGCAAGGCCGAGACAAGGAGTGGATCTCTGTCACCAAGTTGGGCTGCCTGATCAAGGACATGAAAATCAAGTCCCTGGAGGAGATCTATCTCTCCTCCTTGCCCATCATTGACTTTTTCTTGGGGGCATCCCTCAAGGATGAGGTTTTGAAGATTATGCCCGTGCAAAAGCAGACACGGGCTGGCCCGAGGACCCGGTTCAAGGCATTTGTCGCCATTGGGGACTATAATGGACATGTTGGTTTGGGTGTTAAGTGTTCAAAGGAAGTAGCTACTGCCATCCCTGGGGCCATCATCCTGGCTAAGCTCTCTATTGTACTTGTGCCGCGAGGCTACTGGGGGAATAAGATTGGCAAGCCCCACACCATTCCTTGCAAGGTGACTGGCCGCTGTGGCTCTGTACTGGTGCGCCTCATCCCTGCCCCCAGGGGCACTGGCATTGTCTCAGCCCCTGTGCCCAACAAGCTGCTGATGATGGCCGGTATCGATGACTGCTGTACCTCGGCCAGGGGCTGCACTGCTACCCTGGGCAACTTCACCAAGGCCACCTTTGATGCCATCTCTAAGACCTACAGCTATCTCACCCCAGATCTCTGGAAAGAGGCTGTTTTCACCAAGTCTCCCTATCAGGAATTCACTGACCATCTTGTAAAGACCCACACCAGAGTTTCTGTGCAAAGGACCCAGGCTCCAGCTGTGGCCACCACATAATTTCATACCAGAAAAATAAAGTGAATTAAGCCCATTAAAAAAAAAAAAGTTATCACTCAACAATATTAACTCATTTCAAAATAAAGATGGTACTCACATATCCTACTGGAGGACGTAAACTTAAAAACAAAACAAAAGAAATACACATTTCCCAACTCAGGAATTCTAGGTGATAAAATTTACTTGTCATAAACAAGTACATGAACATCCTGTGATAATCCATCAATTCTATTCTTAGAATTTATACTACAGAAACACTTCAACAAGTAGACAAAGATGTATATAGGAATACATACTCCACATTGCTTGGAAGGGTGAAAAATTAAAAATAATATACACATGTATAAAAGAGGAAATCAGTTAAATTATAGTATGGCCATACAATAAAATATCGAGTAGCCGTTAGAAAAGATGCAATAGGTCCAACCCACTGACACAGAAAGATGTCTAGGCAACTGAATAAAAAAAGCAAGAACAATTCATATAATTCCCTACACACATACATAAACAGCACCTACTATTTATAGATATACATATATTCACAGACAAAAAGTTGGGAAAGATATATATTAAACTTTTAAAACTGGTTATCTTTGGAGAATGGTAAAGACAAAGGTTTTTATTTTCAGCTTTATTTGTTTTTGTATTGTAAAACTGAATGTATTACTTTTATAATTATAAGAAACAGAGTTGTTTTTTTAAGAAAATCATGTACCACAAGAGAAAATTAAGAGATCCTGTAAACAAAGTAGAAACCTTTATTAAGCGGTATATAAACTTCTATATACTTCACACATACACAAAGTGTGGCTATAAGTTAACCTTAATAACTGTAAAAATAAAATATTTACTTAAAAAAAGATTAAGGCTTACAATTCAGATTAACTTGCTGAAAATACTAAGAAGGTGTGATGAGATCTCAACTAAATCAAATTGGATCATCACACTAATCAGCCCTGTTATAGATAAATGCTCTATCGAGGCTTATATATTATCTATATAAATACATGACTGTTTTTTTTTCTAAAATGGTACTTACAGTTCTCTACAATTTCATCAAAAACTGCACCAGTTTTCTGTTCAAACTGAAAAAGCAAAAAGAAAAGGGAAAAATAACATTACTTTCTATTCTCCTAGCAATTCTTTCGTATCCCTTCTAACCCCCAAGAGCTATAATTTTCAAGCCAAAGTATACAAATATACAACATAAACACCATCAAATAGAGTACAATAAAATTTAGAATGAACAAAATAAGTTCTTAGGCCAAAACCCACAAACCAAAAATGAAGAGATAAATACATGCCCTCACTATTTGAAAAAAAACTTATTTTTTGCCGGGCCAGCATGGCTCAGCGGTTGAGCAATGATCCAGGAGATCAAGGTTCAATTCCTGGTCAGGGCACATGCCCAGGTTGCAGGCTCGATACCTAGTAGGGGCATGCAGGAGGCAGCCAATCAATGACTCTCATCTGATGTTTCTTTCTCTCTCTCTCCCTCTCCCTTCCCCTCTCTGAAATCAATAAAGATACATTTTTAAAATATTAATATAAAAAACTTATTTTTAAAAAATCACTTTTAGCTCTAGCCGGTTTGGCTCAGTGGTCAGCCTGCAGACTGAAGGGTCTCGGGTTCGATTCCAGCCAAGGGCACATACCTTGGTTGCAGGCTTGATCCCCGGGCCCTGGTCGTGTGAGTGGGGGAGGCAACCAGTCGATGTGTCTCTCTCACATCGATGTTTCTCTTTCTCTCTCTTCCCCTTCCACTCCCTCTGAAAAGCAATGGAAAAAATATCCTTGGGTGAGGATTAAAAAAAAAAATTAAAAAATCACTTTGTTAGAAAATGCAGAGGATCATATACATTCGTAATAATAATAAATGTAGCCAATAAGTGCTCTCAGTAAACAATTGCTGAGAACCTACTAACATCTCTTGAGAACTATGCAAAACTTCGAATCAACGCTGAACAGAACAATCAACATCCTGGGATACCCATAGGCCCTAGCATATTATTCAGTAAGTCCTCACTTAACATCTTTGATAGGTTCTGCGACTTTAAGTGAAACAATGTATAATGACACCAGTTTTACCATAGGCTAACTGATATAAACAAATTAAGTTCTTAAGGCATCTAATTGTTATAATAAAATGATCTTGAATGAAATAAAGTCATTTGAGGATCTGTTGTATTGCATAATCTCTCAATATCTTTTCTATTAACTGAATGCTATACTTTGCATTTCTCAGCATTTGTTATGTAAAACCTGCAAGATGTTCTAAGAAAATCTGTCATCAAATTAATAGAAAATAAAAATATCTTTTTTCAGTAATTACCAATGGTTAATTTATTAAATACTAAGAAGTCTAAAACTAAAGAAACCTGTCCTGCTTTATTTCACCCAGCATTTCCCAAACATACTTGACCACTGTACTGCTTTGTTTCACCCAAAATTTCCCAAACATACCTGACCACAGAACCCCTTTGAAGAATAATATTTATTAACATACTACAAAAATACTATGGAAAATTATGCTAAATGATAGTAGCAGTTGTAGGATCTACCCATTTTAATACAAGAAAGTCATTTTTAATTTAGTAATGTACTCCAAAATCATGTTTTTCGTTTTTCTTAATAATCATGCCATTTCAACATGCGTGGTTTTCATAAGTACTGTAAAAGCAAGGGCTTTTAAACTTGATAGTTTAACAAACACATAGAACAGAATGTAATTATTCAACATGCTAAAGAATATTACTCTAAAATCATTAGCCAAATTAACAAGGAAATATTAAATAAGGATAGTAAATACTTGGTTTCTAACACTCTCTTCCTACTAAGCGCCTCACCTTCCACCACAAATCATCTGCTATTAATCAACCACAGCAATCTTTCCTATAAAATATGGATATGTTATCAGAACTGTTCTCAATTCAAAGTTCAGGTGTTCATTTATGCTCAACTGAAGTTGGCAGGCAAGATCAAATACTTACTATTTAATTACTATTAAAGTGGTAGTACTAGCACTATTTTACCTTGTTTTGAAAGTTCTAGTCTATGCAGTAAGAAAATATATATATAAAAAGTAAAAACAGTGAAGAGGAAACAAAATTCTCATTTTTTACAGGTAATGTGGTTGTCTACTTGAAAAGTCCAAGATAGTAGACTGAAATGTATTAGGAGTAAGAATACATTTCAGTAGAGTGACTCTTTTTAAAATTCAACATTCAGGCCCGGCCGGCATGGCTCAGAGGTTGAGCATCAACCTATGATCCAGGAGATCGAGGTTCTATTCCCGGTCAGGGCACATGCCTGGTTGCGGGCTCGATTCCCACTAGAGGATCCCAGTCAGGGTACATGTTCAATCCCCAGTAGGAGGCCTGCAGGAGGCAGCGATCAATGACTCTCTCATCACTGATGTTTCTATTTCTCTCTCCCTTCCTCTCTCTGAAAGCAATAAAAACATATTTTTTTAAAAATTAGAATATATCTAGTAACCATTTAAGGTAAAAAATTTAAACCATCATTTTACACTTGACAGCAAAATAAATTTCAAATAGGTTTTTTAAAAATAAAAAAACTAGAAGATAGGAAAGTCTTTTAACCATAAACAGAAACAAATCCTCATGATAAAGTTTAATATGCTTGACCATATTAAAAATTAAAATTGTTTGTAAAAACCCAGACAACCTGGGAAAATGAGTTTGTATTAATAATATCACAATAGTTAATACTCTACCTATAAAGCACTCTTAGAATCCACTAAAGAGCAGCATCCCAATAGAAATGACCAAAGACCACAAACAAGCACTCAACATTCAATCTCATCTGAAGTCAAAATGAAAATGAGATACCATTTTTTCTCAGGTCAGCAAAGACACAAATAAATAGATATAGAAATTCTTCCTCTTATTTTTTTTTTTTAACCTACTCTACCTAGGAAAGTTCTCATTATACTGAGATCTAATTCACTCTTTATAGCGACTGCATAGTCTTTTATTGTATTATACAGATGGACACTTAAGTTGCTTCAAGTTTTCCAAATATTATAGTTGTTATCCTTATACATGTAAGTTGGTTTATGTATGTCAGCGTATGTGTGTGTCTATGTGTGGTCATATACATATGATCAATTCCAAGTAGAATCATGAAATTAAAGAGCATAGGCACTTAAAAATTTTTTTTTAATGTTTCTATTGATTTTAGAGAGAGAGAAAGGGAGAGAGAGAAATAGATAGAAACATCAATGGAGAGAAACATCTACTGGCTGCCTCTTGCACGCCCCCGACTAGGGATCAAGCCCACAACCCGGGTATGTGCCTTGAGTAGGACTCAAACCAGGGACCTCTTGGTCCATGTGATAATGCTCAACCAACTGAGCCACACCAGCTGGGAAGCACTTAAATTTTTGATAGATGTTACCAAACTGCCCATCAAAAGCATTTCATATACATACGTGTGTGTGTGTGTGTGTGTGTGTGCGCGCGCGCGCGCGCACATAGTGAGTTCCTGCTATTTCTCAAGAACGTCCCTACCACCTGGATTGGATTTTTTTACCTTCCTCAATTTGGTAGGCCAAAAAAAAGTTATCTTATTGTTAAATTTGCATTTTTATTTTACATTTAATTGCTTTCATTTTTAAATTTTGAAGAAGAATCTTTCCATGTAGTTATTAACCATCTGTGACTCTAATTTCTATCAACTACCCAACTATAGAATTTCTTAGATGACCTGAGGCAATGGTTCCCAAACCATTATAATTAGTCATTAACACTTATCAGGAACCTCACCCTGTGCCTGGTACTATTTTCAACTTTTAAATTGATTTAATTCAATCAAGCCTCCCTAAGTCTCATTAAACAAGTACTATTAATACCTCTATTTTATAAATGAGGAAATGGAGGCATTGAGAGGTTGAGGGGACATACATACACAGCTCTGAAAAAGGCTCCCCAGAAAAAAGCCCAAACTTCTGACTCCAAAATCTGGCCTATACTGCTTCATCATTTCCTGCCTTAATGTTCCGATTACATCCCCATCCCCAAAGCAATGTTCTAGCTATTGGGTGACCTGTAGCTCACCCAATCTCTCAGGTAGTTTTCTCTCTCTGGACAACTGTGCACAGTGCTCAAGCATTTCCAGTCTTAATTCAATAGTAAACACCTACTCAAATTTCATGACTGAGCTAAAGTTATAATTCTTAAATAATGCTATCTCACACAACCCACACACACTCAACTTCCTAAACAAGGGAGAATTCATAACTCTCTTTCCTAGCACTAGGGGTTATATAAATGTGAAGTTTTAACTCCATTATATAACTGGGGTTATATAAATGTGAAGTTTTAACTCCATTATGAAGACTATCTAAAAAAGAAATCGATTTTCAAAAGGAATTTTTTTTATATGAAAGCCTTTAGAGTTATACAAAAATTAAAAATAACCTAGTTTCTTTCAACAGAACCCTAATGAAATCAAGACTCTGTAAAAGATTAGAGAGTTCACATTTCTCAAAGCAGGTGGCAGGTTAAAGTGTACCCAGTGTAGAGAGATCTGTTTGTTCCTTTCTGCTGTAAGCGAAGTCCCTACAACAATGCCGAACATGTAACAAAAGTTCAATAAATGTTTGCTGAAGAATCACTATTCATTAATAAGAAATTTAAAACTCGTCTATATTAAAAACGTAAACATCCTAAAGTGCACTTTAAAATTAGCAAGCCCTGGTCCGTGTAGCACAATGGTTAG